GTTTCACAAGAGTTTTAAGTGGTTTTCGGTGGCTTCTCTGTGTTTTCTGGTGGTTTTTCAATGGTTTGTGGGTGGTTTTTCAGTGGTTTCTTGGGGGGGGGGGGGCTTCAGAAGTTAATTGGGGTTGTTCAATGTTTTGTGGGTGTAGTTCAGATGTTTGTAGGGGCTAATAAGTGTTTTATGGGGGTTAGTCGATTATTGTTTTGTAGGGGTAGTTCAGATATCGGGGGGGGGGGGGCTATTCAATATTTACAGGGGGTTGATTAGTGTTTTTAGGGCCTAATCAGTGTTTTATGGGGGTAGATTAGATGTTTTTGGGGCTGATTAGTGGTGGCAAATCAGCGGTTTGTGGTGGCAATTCAATGGTTTGTGGGGGCTGGCGGAGGTTTTTGTGTGTTATTCAGAAGTTTTGGTGGCTGTTCAGTACTTAGTCGATTTGATAATTAAAAATTAAACAAAATGAGCAAATAAACAACATCTAAACAAATTATTACATCAAAAATGTACTTAATCAAATATCTTAACAAATTATTACTTCATAAAGCTAATAATATATGGAAATAGAGCACAGCGGATATGAGCGTCAAACGGAAAATATATGAACATAAATATACCTGTCAATTGGACTTTTTGACATTTCTTTGTCTAATTCTTCCAATATTATTAAATCAATAATTGGACTTTTTTTAGGTACATCATCTAACTTTTTTTTTTTTTTTTTGTTAATCTGATGTTGAACATTTGACTAATCGACTGTTAAAAAAATTTAGAGTTTAATTTAATATTCAATTCCAAAAATCAACAATTTAACATTAAATTTGGATTTTGAACAATAAATTACTTATACTTCTTATCTTCATTATTAGGAGAACATAGTTTCAATTTTCTACAAAAATTAAAACAACAATTATGTTCATAATTTTGTTGAATTTTACACAATTAGTAAATTTTACATAATAGTAGCAAATTTAAAGAAGTTTAAGTAATGTTCACCTTTTTGAAGGAGTATTCTTCTGTTTCTCGTCTTTATCCATGGCGGTAGAGCAATTTTTTAGAGAAAAAATGGAGAGCTGGGAGAAAAAACTAAAATGAGTAAATAAGGAAAGATTTTGAATTTATGAGATGAAATAGAATTTTTTAAATAAATTAAAAAAATTGATATGGCGGTTGAGAGAGGAAGAGGAAACAACTATTTTTTGGGCTCGTATGAATAGCTATTAGGCTCGTATGTGTTTGGCAAGTTTTTTGGGCGGATATAGCTAGTGGGCTATTGTAGGGAATATTTCAAGCATTACCCCAAATTTGAACCCCACTGTGATCATTTTATATTTTGGGACCAAACCCTCAGAAATATCAAATCTTTCACGTCTAGGGTGAAGACAACTTCGAACTTGGCTAGGTGTGTCTAGTGCTAATGTATGACGAATTTTGTTTGTAAAAGGTTAGGCTAGAAGGAGAGAGAGAGAGAATAAGCTTTAGTTTGGAGAGAGAAAAGAGAATTAGAGAATTCTGGTTATTCAAAAACGGAGGTCCAAGGACCCTATTTATAATAAAATAGTCCGGAATTGATAAAACGAATCAGAGTTTGAAAAGGAATAAAACACGCCTCTGTCGCCAACAATAGGACATGTCGCCAGGCGACAGCCTGTCGTTTGGCGATGCAAAAGGTTTTCCACACGTTTTCAACGCGAAATCTACTTTTTAATAAAAACGTCATAAAGTCCGTACGAAGGGTAGAATCGTAATTTCATTAAAACACTTCTTTTATTCCAAATAAAACTCATAAAACATTATTATCAATCCTAATCCCATTAGGATTCAAAAAAACCTTCTAGAAGTTTCTAGAAGACTATAATCAATCCTAATTTCATTGGGAATGATAATTCATTATAGGCCCTCCTCTAGATCATTGGGCCGCATATAAAAATCAAACCAGGCCCAGTTTAGTATTTTGGCCATAAATTCCTCATTATTCATCGGAATTGGGCTTATAATATATCGTTGGAAAGCTCTTTTCGAGCTTAATCCAACTACACCATTATTGGACCTATGTCACGGACCAAACTAAACTGGATTGGATATTTTCATAAAATAGAGTAGGTTTTTGAAAATAGAAAGAAAGGTTTTTAATAAAAACTAGCCACAACATTAGACTTTCCACACTTTCACTTCATTCGATTATGATTCGATGCAAAAGGTATTTATCACCGGGTTTGGTTTTGGGGAGACACAAATGGGTGTCTACAACTGTTATTTTTGCCTGATGCAATAGGTGCACCATGGTGCATGTAATAACAATTGACCGAAATACTAAATCGAGCCCAAACTGAGCATAGGTCCACATCTATAGCTGCGACCCAATGATTATGTGGAGTCCAAATATCTTATTTAAACCCTATAAGATCATACTCCCAATCTTAAATTAGTTAGGATCTTCTAGAATTTTCTTGACGGTTCTAATATATTCTTTTCGAAAAGATAAAGATAAAAGAAGTTTGAGATTGAATAAAACTTATCAAAAGATAGTCCTTTTTTCATCCAATTCAAAGACATTCAGATATCTTCAGTAAATACAATTGCAATAGAAATCAAACTCTGTACATCTTTCCTATCCTTTGGAACCAACGCAAAACATCATGTTCATCGCACACCAACAGTTTTGACGAGGCGCGTCAATACCCAACGTGGTGGGAAAATCTTATCACGCGGCGAGCGTTAAAACCAGTTTTATTTTATTTAGAACTTTAAATCTTTCTCTGATCATCAGACTATCTTTTTTCCTTATAAATAGAGGTCATTTTCCCCATTTTCAAATCAGCTAGAACCATCAATCTTAAGCCCCAATTAGCTATAACAACCTAGCTCCAATCATTATCAACAACCTTGAACAACAATCATCAAGAATTAGCCATAATTAGCCTTAAAAAATCCCTCATCTTAAGAATTCAAAAGAGTTCGTAAACCAATGATTTTACCCTAAACACTGATTTGTGTATTTTATATGCTATTTTTTTCCCTGTCCCATGGTCATTTTTATGTGAATTTGAGCTCTTCGAGACTATTTTAGTATTAATGTATGGTTTTGAGTTTTTCGTAGAGTTGGCATTTATTTTGTCAGAATTTCCCGATTTTTGGTGATTTCTATGGTATTTCGGCCACCACGAGATATCGAAGCCTATGATCAAATCACATTCATGACCGTCTTTAATAGCCCAAAACAAAGGATATTGGTGACTAAGAGCTTGGTTCATGATATTGGTTCAAGAAAGAAGAAAAATTTGAGCTAAGAGTATTTTGAGCCCAAAAGAAATAGGAGAAGAAGTTTAGCTTAGAAAAAGACTGGGCCGGATAAGGCGGCTTATGGCCTGATTGGGCACGTGTTTTTCCTAGGCGTTTTAGGATTAGTCTTCTTGGTTATTGATATGTCAATTTTATAAAGTGTTTTATCCTCGTCCCTTGGTCGTAATTGGTAGTGTTTTTGGCTCTTTAGAGCACTTGTTTTCTAGTATTTTCGTAGTTTTGGTTGAGTTTTGCAGGGAATCGCACATATGGAGCATTTTCTCGGGATTTTATAAAGCAACTACGAGCATTGGAGGAGCACGACCGATATACTGAGGCAATTGGATCGAGTAGTCAAGCCCTAAGGAGGAAATCTGGATTAGGCCAAATGATCGGGGCCCAATCAAAGTCCAAGAAGTGCCCAAAATGGCCTTGCCCGGCCAATTTGGTCTCACCCAAAGGCGCGCCCGGCCGGGTGGGGGGGGGGGGGAAGAAGCAAGACGCCTAATCTCGCGCCCGACCGGGCACGAGAGAAGATCTGATGGAGAAAAGGCGCGCCCGACTAGGCGGTGAGGTGGCGGGCGCGTGTCTTTGGAAGATAATTAAGCTCGATTTTAGTTCGTTTAAGTTTAGGATTTTCGAGTTTAATATAAATACGTTTTTGTTAAGTAATTTTAGTACCTTTTTTCTCTTAGCTTTTTCTCTCTACTTAATTTTCAGATTAGTTTTCTCTCATTGTTTCTCTCTCTACAACTCTACAACCTTGTTCTTAATGCAATTCATTATTTCTGTTAATTTTGGTAACGATTTCTTCTCTATTATTTTCAGTAATTTAATTTCTTTATTTCATCATGTCCTGTTTAATTGCTTTGATTAATTTAGATTTAATTATGCATGAGTATTATTTTTTTTCTAGAGTTTATGGGGATCTACAAATAATATGAAGGGGTAATTTATTGTTGTAGATTGTCAATGCTTGATTAATTTCCTATTGATTGATTTAATGCTATGCAATTAGATTAGGCTTGGTTTAATTGTATGAGTTATGTAATATTGATTCGAGATTCGAGAGGTGAGAATTGATGTTTAGGCGTAGTTTCAATAGGCAGACTAATTTATAAATGGTTAAGTCGAGATTTGAGAAATGAGATTTAATACCGGTAAATTAACTCTGTGATTGTAATATGTAGAGAAAGCCCTTTATGATCTGATTGATGCATTGATGATTATATTTTACCCAGGAATATTATTTATTGGTGAACCTATACCCTAAGCTTTTATTAATTGATTTCTCCCTACTTTTTATCTCCCTTAGTTAATTCCTTATATCTATAATTTAATTACTTTATAATTTAGTTATTCTAATTAATTAGGAATAGGAAGACTTGTTTCCCTGTGGATTGTCCCTTTCTTCCCTATCTGCATAGTTAGAGGAACTTAGGAATTATTTTTAACTAGGTGATACGACTTTATCCTGTCAAAATTTGGCGCCGTTGCCGAGGACACGATTTTATTTTTATTTCTGATTATTTTTGTAGTCTAAATTATTTTCTCTTATCTCAAAGAACGCAAGTTCTTTGAGACAACTTTCTCATATTTGTTTGTTTAGTTCTTTTTATGCCTAGGAAAATCAATTTATTTTTTTTCCCTTTTGTGCGTGAGTTTGAGGGATGACAGGAGGAGATGGAGGAAAAGCGAAGGCCACGGGGGGCAGCGTAGCTATGGAAGACCTCCAGCAACCTGTGCCACACTCGCAAGCTGAACAACAAGGTGCGCACATTGAAGATGGCAACGATAGTGCCTTGGGTAAAGGCATGAGAGGAAAATTTCCTAATGTAAAATTTCATGAATTTTTGACACATACTATCCGAAATAAAAGTCCATCTACACCAACTCAAAGTTCACTTGTGACATCACCTCCCTCAGGTACTGTTTACCCTATAACACATTTTGTTGATTCTCATCGGTTTTCTGTGAAACATAGAACATATATTACTACTATTACAGGAGGAAATGAACCCAAAAGTTTCAGGGAGGCCATGAAACACGAGGGTTGGAGAAAGGCTATGGCAGGTGAGATATAGGCACTAGAAGAACAAGGCACTTGGGTGTTAGAGAAACTATCTCCCGGTAAAAAGGCACTTGGAAGCAAGTGGGTGTACAAAGAGAAATATGATGAGCACAAAAACATGCAGAGATTGAAAGCGAGATTAGTCATCTTTGGCCATCATCAGGTTGAAGGTTTAAACTACAATGAGACTTTTGCTTCGGTTGCAAAAATGGTGACAATTCGTACTTTTCTTGCAGTAGCGGCTGTGAAAATTTGGGAAGTCCATCAAATGGACGTTCATAATGCGTTTCTTCATTGTGATTTGGAAAAAGAGGTATGTATGAAAATTCCCCCTGGTTTTGACAAAAAAAATTCTGACAAAGTTTGCAAGATGAAGAAGTCATTGTACGGGCTTAAGTAAGCTCCGAGATGCTAGTTTGCAAAGCTAGCTATAGCTTTGAAACACTATGGCTTTAAAAAGTCATATAATGACCATTCTTTATTTACTCTGACAAAGGGTACAATGCTACTTAATGTGTTAGTATATGTTGATGATTTAATTCTAGCAGGCAATGATAAAAATGCTATGCTCAATTTTAAATCATATCTGGGAAAGTGTTTCAAGATGAAGCATCTTGGTGTGTTGAAATATTTTGTGGGGCTACAGGTAGCCCGCAATAAACTGGGAATTTTTTTTGCCAGAGGAAGTATGCATTGGATATTATAACTGAGGCTGGTTTACTTGATGCTAAACATGTAGAGTTCCCTATGGAACAAAATCACAAGTTAGCCTTGGCTCAGGGAGAGTATTTTCTTGACATAGTGAAATATCATCGACTCATAGGTCGACTGATTTACTTGTCTGTCACAAGACCCAATTTGGCATACTCTGTACATATTTTATCACAGTTTATGCAAAATCCCAGGATTGATCATTGGAAAGCAGCTTTGCGAGTTATTAGATATTTGAAGAAGAGCCCGGGATAGGGTATCTTATTGAGATCAGACAGTGCTTTATAGTTGGAAGGCTGGTGTGATTCAGATAGGGATGGCAATGGGGCGGGTTGGATGCGGATGATGGTACCTCAATACCCATACCCGCCTAAAACTCTTATACCTATCCCCGCCCCACCACCCGTGGCGGGTACAATATACACATCCATACCCTCCCCACCAAGTACAAGATAGGATCCATCCCCGCCCCATCACCCACTTGGATATTCATACCCGCCCCAAAATTGTCCCAAACCCTTTGCCGTGATGCTCTATTGTATCACATTAATGACAATTATATCTAATTAGATTAAAAAAATTGGGGCTTTCACTATTCAAGCTTATTGGGTCTTAGAAGGTATCAAGTTTCATAAATTCTCAACTCGTCTAAAAGAATATGGTACGGGTATAAGGTGGGTACGGGACGGGGCGGATATGGGACGGGTCTACTCTAAAATCCATATTCGCCCCATCACCCATGGCGGGTACACATTTTATACCCATCCCCGCCCCATCACCCTGAAAGGAATGGTGTCCTTTGAACAAGTGTATTATTCTGATAGCGGGTTCAGAATTATTAGAAAGCTAATATATTCAGTAAGGTCAAGTGGTCGGAATGCCTGGGTAGAGGCCGCTTCCGATCAGTGATATTAATGTATAATTAATATTACATATTAATCTTGACTGAACCCTTCGAGTCACACCCAAGAAAATATACGAACCGAATTGACAAATTAATTCGGAAGAAATTAATTCGTCGCCCGAGTGTTAAATATTTAGACGTCGGAAATTTGAGCTCAGAGCGTCGAAACCGAGCGTCGAAAGTCGAGTCAAAAATAGTAAAGGACGAGACGACAAAATTAGTAATAAATCAACAATGACTAAAATACCCCTAGCATCGGAATCCCGAGTGCTAGGGGATTAGGCAAGCTAGCAGCCCGCACCATGTGCGAGGCTTGCTAGCGAGCCACGACCAGCAGCCCGCAAGCATTGCGTGGCTTGCTAGCGCGTGCTACTGCTAGCAGCCCGCACATGTGCGTGGCTTGCTAGCAGCGCCCATCGGCAGCAGCAGCCCGCACATATGTGCATGGGCGTGCTGGGACGAGAAGGCTGTAGCTAGCAGCCCCCGTCTGCGGGGCTAGGCTGGGCCGAGTGCTAGGGCGGGTCATTGGGGAAGCATGTGAAGGGAGTGTGTTTGTGTGAGGACAAGTGGCACAAGGAGAGGAAGGAGTGGGGAGCAAGTATGGTCCCCTCCTCTCCAAGTGGTCCTCACTTCTCTTTACATACAATAAGGACACTTGCTGATTTATTACTTGCTTGCCTATTTAATTTATTTTAGCTTTAAATTAAATTGTGAAATTTCATGATCCCACATTGATGGGATTGAAATTCTCTCTCCCACTTTTCCCTATAAATACCCAAGTTGGATTTTGGAGAAAAGTGCTTGAGTGGGAGTTAGAAAGAGCATTTCATTTTGGCAAAAACTCTTAAACTCCATTAACACTTGGGTTTTGGTCGAACCTTGCTAACTCCAAGGTAGCGGACCTAAAAAGTCGGTGTTCGTCCTTTGTGGGTGGATACCGTTGGAGGCTCGGTATTTTCGGAGCTAAAGCTTTCAAGTAAGAGCCCATTAGGTTGGGCGAAGCACGCATCAAAGGTAAATTCCGTTTTTATCGTTTTATGTTTATTTGTTATGCTTTATGGTTTTATTAATTGCGAGTGGTTCTTTGGGTTGGGGTTGTTTCCGCGGTAAGTTGGAATTACCAAACCCTAACACACCCGCCAAACCTCCCTCCAGCCCCGCCCCACTTAGGCGAGGATGGGGCGGGTCTCCCATTTAACCCGACCCACTGCCATCCTAGATTCAGATTGGGCAGGTTGTTCTCTCTCCAGACGATCCTTGAGTGGCCTGGTTGGTTTGTGCTTCTTGGTTTGTCCTCGGTGTCATGGAAAACCAAGAAGCAACCTACTGTTGCTCTTTCTTCATCGGAAGTAGAATATTGTTGTATGAATGCAACGACTTGTGAATTGAAATGTTTGAAATGACTTCTTGGTGACTTAGGTGTTAAACATGAGAATGAGATGCACCTTTATTGTGATAGTTAGTCTGCGTTATACATTGCGCAGAATCCAGTGTTTCATGAACGAACAAAACATATTGAGTCGGATTGTCATTTTGTTCAGGATGCAATTACAGATGGAACGATTATACGTTCGTATGTTCATACGACGGTTCAGTTGGCTGATATTTTTTACAAAGGCTTTGGAAAAAGCTAAATTTGAGTTTCTTCTTCGCAAGTTGGGTGTCCGAGATCCGTACTCTCCAAGTTGAGTGGGGTATTAGGAAAGATAAATATTGTGAAATATTGTGAATATTATCTTGTGATTATCTTTAGGTTATTTGGCCTTGCCCTCCAAGTATCTTACTCTATATATATATTTTGTATATGGTCGTTTATATTGAATGAGAATTTACACAGAAAATTATTCAATTATATTTAACACATTTTAAAACGGAAAGAATACTATATTATTCAAAGAATTTACTTCATGTTTTCAACAATTAATTTTTTATTATTATTTTTTTAGGAATTTTAACAATTAATAATTTTTTTTTCTTTTTAGCAATTAACAATTAATTTAGGACAAAGCAAGTACAATAGTGAGAAAAGGATATGAACATAAGTAACTCCGAAGATTTAAAAAAAAAAAAAAAAAAAAAAAAGGGCCGCCGTTAGATTTAATAACGGTGTGACTTTGGTGTTGGATACATCATAATCAGAGTTCAGGCATCAAGAGCTGCAGTTTGCAGTATGTTTTTGGCTTTTTAGGTTAGAGACAAATTTACAAACTTCGGGATAATTGAGAAAACCCCCACCTCAACATCACTATTACTCGTACTAATTATTATAGTCGCCTTTTTTAATTATATTCAGTCAAGATTCTTCCTCATATTACCCAGAAACCTCTGAAAACATTCACGTACAATCTAGACTTTTTTTTCAAGCATCGCACATTATTCACACTAATGTGTCGTGTAATAATGTATTTTGGCCTCGTGTAAAGATTTAATGTTCCAGATTTATCTTTATCAAGCCAATTAGTAGATGCTGTTAGACCGGATTTATATAGTTTTACATGCAATAGTGTAAAACAGAATAATACTAGGCTGCTACGTTAATTTTTTTTTAACATTTACAATAATTATTATTCTTGTAAATATTTTCGATTGTTTCGTGTTGATGTTCATCTGGTTCATTTACAATAATAGTGTATATTTTTGTACTTTTATAATTTCGGAATTTCACTCTTACAGTAACTAGGGTGGTAACAAGAACATATTAATGAGGGTAACTATTCAAATGTACATTTTGAATGATATAATTGGCAACACACTATTTACAAGAATAATCTGGTACTGCATCGCATATTAATGTGTTTTTTTTAAAGAAAAAATATTTAAAATAATAATTATTCTTGTAAATTTTTAAATGCTAGAAATAGACATTTAATAAATGCTCGAAATATACATTTAATAAATTAAAGAGAGTACTTTTTATAAGGTAGAGATGTATCTGTCATAACTGAAATAAGTATTTATATATCTATCTATACCAAAGTGGTTTTTTTTTTGAAGAAATTATTACTCAAAAAATCTACTCTTTTTTTGAATAAATTAAATTCTACTAATTATTACAATAATTTGCACACGCGTATTTATGCATTTTTAAAAGAATACCAAATAAGGATAGATAATTAATGTTTATTTGTAGTCATAAGGATTTCATAACATGACATTAGCATTTAATTTTTTGCTAAATTATTAATTGCTTAAAGACTTAATTAATTATTTATTATTATAATTACACACATTGAAATGGTAAATTGCATGGATTTTGCAAAAAAGTAGACAAATAAAGTAATAAAATACATGAAAAAAGCAAAATTTACACGGAAACCTAATTTTACACATACATTATTGTAGAAGGTGTTTTAATGTAAATGGGATGAACATTAATTTTAGGATTAGAGATTGGTCGTTTTTTGTTAGGGCCAGTTCTCTTCAAGTTAATTTCAGTTCACTTTAGCTCCAATTAATTCAGTTCAGTTCAGTTCTTGATTTCCTTCACTTATAAACAATTCAATTCATCTCACTTCAATTCAGTCCAGTTTAGCTCCAATTAGTTTAATTCGGTTCAGTAAATCATAACAAGCCCGTGAGGAAGGAGAAAGTATAAAACTACATATAAGTATATAACCATTTACATGTTCTAATTTGCACCATTAAGCAAACTTCAATACTATAAAATTCCTTACCTTTCTCCCAATCTTAAACGGCCTAACTCACCTATGGTCTGTTCTATTCAGCTTAATTTCAATTCAATTCAATTCAGCTCCAATTAGTTTAGTTCAGTTCAGCTCAGCTCCAACAGTTTAGTTTAGCTCAGCTCCAATCAATTCAATTTAGCTCATTTCATTTCAATTAAGTTCAACTGTTTAATAAATCAAAACATACCCTAACACGATATAAATCTATACTTAGTATTTAAAAACACAAACCACAAATTTTTTATATGACACATGGCATCACAATTCACAAGTCACTCATCACCCCATATGCCACATGTTATCTCCCTTAATATTTATGTTTATGTCTTTATGCATTATACAACTTTCAAATTCAAGTAAGAAAATGAAGTGTTTCATTTCCACCATAATAAAATAATGTTTTAATTAATACACATTACATAAACATATAAATTATGATAAAAATTGTCTTTTCATCTCCTAGACTTTAAATATAATTTAAAATAATATGTCATTTTATATCCCACAATCTTCACCACTACAAGAATAAGGTTAAATAGCGACGGAAATTTTCCCTTGCAAAAAGGCCAAATTCCGTCGCAAATAGCATTTCCGACGGAATTCCGTCGTAATTGTCCGTTGCAAAACGTTTCGTAGGAAAAAAAAGAATTTCCGAGGGAAATTCTGTCGCAAATGTCTTTTGCGACGGAAATACCGACGGAATAACATCCGTCGCAAGAAAATCTGACTTTCAAGTATTATCTGTCGCAGATTTACGACGGAAAAATCCGTCGTTGAATAATAACTTACGACGGAAAAATCCCTCGCTGAAGGTCAATATTTGCGACGGAATTATTTTCGTCGGTAATTTGCGACGGAAAATTCCCTTGCTAAAATATTATTTGCGACGGAACAATCCCTTGCTGAAATATTATTTGCGACGGAAAATTCCCTTGCTAAAATATTAATTGCGACGGAAAATTCCCTTGCAAAAATATTAACTACGACGGAAAATTTCCTCACTATTATATTAATTGCGACGGAAGTTAAATCCCTCGCAAACTTTTAACTTTTGCGAGGGAATTTTCCGTCGTTAAGGATTGTGTCAGCAACGGAATATTCTTCATTTTTCCGTCGCAAATGAATTTTGACAAACTAAATATTAATTATTTCCGTCGCATAATATATTTCACAAAGCCAAAATTCTAGTTGTCCAGCATTAATAACCTATGTTCCTGCACCTAATACCTGTGAAAATTAAAATCATAAACCAATTTTGGAAATATAAATATATATATTTCCACAAAAGCTATTCTGAAGTTAAACATATCTAAAAGCTACATAATGTATAGTAATTCTACAAAAGCGGGAAAATCATCAAATGCTACATAAATTCTAATTAACTACTTGTCCGTACTACATAAACCTAAGCTAGGCTAAAAAACTGCAGGGGTACCTTGGCTTGCTCCTCCACTACCCGGGTCATCCCTAGGGTCTCGTCGCTGAGGCTGAATGGTGGAACAGGTGTCGTTGCCAAATCGTCTGATGAAGTCATTCCACCTCTCCTCAGCTCTCCTTTCCATTTGGGCTACTTCAGCTTGAATTTGAGCTTGCATCTCAACTTCCATTTCACTCCGAAGTTCACTTTGTATTTCACTCCGGAGTTCATTGCGTATCTCACTACGAAGAGCCTCCACCCTATGGTCCATCTGGTCTTGCATCTAACTAACAACAGACGGTGTGTACTGTTGTGAAGACCTAGAACCTCGACCCGTCCGGTTGCCAAAGTACAGCTCTGCACTTTGGCCAAGTCCCCTCACTCGACCCTTCTTGTTGCGACCACCCACACTTTCCCAAAACAACTCATTAGGACTCTTTTTAATCCCTTGAGTGGTGGCTTCTTCAACATTCTTCTGGTAGTTCTCCTACAAGATAGACATTACACAATAATATATAGTTTAAACAATTACCCAACAACATAAGTTACAAGTAAAGCAAATAAACATATAAGTGAAGACTTGAAATCACATAAAAGTAGCAAATTTATAAGTTTTTGGGTCCATATCCTCAAAATGAAGCCATTTCAAGCCAAAATGGGTACTTACATGCCTATTTTCTTTATTTCTTAACTTTTAAACTCATTCTTTCTCAAACCATCCCATATTTACATATTTATAAGATTTTATGACTTGAAATCACATAAAATTAGCAAATTTATAAGTTTTTGGGTCCATATCCTCAAAATGAAGCCATTTCAAGCCAAAATGGGTACTTACATTGCCTATTTTCTTTATTTCTTAACTTTTGAACTCATTCTTTCTTAAAACATCCCATATTTACATATTTATAAGAGTTTATGACTTGAAATAACATAAAAGTAGCAAATTTATAAGTTTTTGGGTCCATATCCTCAAAATGAAGCCATTTCAAGCCAAAATGGGTACTTACATGCCTATTTTCTTTATTTCTTAACTTTTGAACTCATTCTTTCTTAAAACATCCCATATTTACATATTTATAAGATTTTATGACTTGAAATCACATAAAAGTAGCAAATTTATAAGTTTTTGGGTCCATATCCTCAAAATGAAGCCATTTCAAGCCAAAATGAGACAACATACCCGCTGTGGTCCAACCAGACAACTTTTAAACTCATTCTTTCTCAAACCATCCCATATTTACATATTTATAAGAGTTTATGACTTGAAATCACATAAAAGAAGCAATTTTACTAAGTTTATGGTTCCATATCCTCAAAATCAAGTCATTTCATACACATTATGGGTTCTTACATGCCTATTTTCTTTATTTCTTAACTTTTGACCTCATTCTTTCTCAAAATACCCCATATTTACATATTTCTAAGAGTTTATGACTTGAAATCACATAAAAGTAGCAATTTTACTAAGTTTTTGGGTCCATATCCTCAAAATCAACCCATTTCAAGCCAAAATGGGTACTTACATGCCTATTTTATTTATTTCTTAAATTTTAAACTCATTCTTTCTCAAACCATCCCATATTTACATATTTATAAGAGTTTATGACTTGAAATCACATAAAAGTAGCAAATTTATAAGTTTTTGGGTCCATATCCTCAAAATCAACCCATTTCAAGCCAAAATGGGTACTTACGTGCCTATTTTATTTATTTCTTAAATTTTAAACTCATTGTTTCTCAAACCATCCCATATTTACATATTTATAAGAGTTTATGACTTGAAATCACATAAAAGTAGCAAATTTATAAGTTTTTGGGTCCATATCCTCAAAATGAAGCCATTTCAAGCCAAAATGGGTACTTGCATGCCTATTTTCTTTATTTCTTAACTTTTGAACTCATTCTTTCTTAAACCATCCCATATTTACATATGGAACCTTCAACTCGAGCCTTGTTCCCAATTTTACGTTTCAAGTGATTAAGGAACCTGCAATTAAATTAGTATAAATAATTGTGTAAATAGGTCATGACTATGAAGGTTTTTTATTAGAGAGGAAGTGAAGGGGACTTTGATTTACCTTTCGAAGGGATACATCCATCTCTATTGAACAGGACCACATAACTTTCCCTCATATGGCAAATGAATAGGTAAATGCTCCACGGAGTTGAAGAATGTCGGAGGGAACACCTTCTCAAGCTTGCAAAGGATTTCAGCTATGTTTTTCTCTAATCGCTCCATGTCACCAACGGTGATTGTGTAACAACACAAATCACGGAAGAATTGACTGATCTCTGTAACCGCATTCCAAATATGGGTAGGGAGTAATTCCCTCAAAGCAGTAGGCAACAACCTCTCCATGAACACATGGCAGTCGTGGCTTTTCATACCATGAAGCTTACAACCTTGTAAATCTACGCATCTGCTCAAATTAGAGGCATATCCATCTGGAAAACGCAACTGTTTAACCCAGTCACACAACACTTTTCTTTGAGCCTTATCAAGAGCAAATGGGGCTTTTGGCATGTACTCTTTTCCCCTACCGTCCTCCTGCAGATGAAGTTGTGGCCTTTTACAATATTTAGCTATGTCATTTCGAGCCGATGGCGTGTCACATGTCTGTTTTTTCACATCCATAATGGTGTGGATTAACTGATCAAAGAAGTTCTTTTCAATGTGCATGACATCCAAGTTGTGACGGATGAGCAGATGCTTCCAATAAGGAAGCTCCCACAACGAGGATTGCTTGAACCACCCTTTTTTTGCTCTTTTGAGATGTTTCAATGCCTCCGGCCCATCAGTTGCCCTTGGAAGGTGTCTCACACATTCCCACAATTCCTCACCTGACATGATGTGTGGCGGTGAACCTTTTTTGACTTTGTTTTTACAAAAAGCAGTTTTACTATTTCGAAAAGGGTGATCTGTTGCAAGGAATTGGCGATGGCAATCAAACCAAGAAACTTTGCCACCGTGTTCAAGCCAGAATGTTTTGCTTTTATCCATAAAATAAGGACAAGCCTTCTTACCCGCTGTGGTCCAACCAGACAACATACCGTAAGCTGCAAAGTCACTAACAGTCCAAAGGATGGCTGCTCGAAGATTGAAATTTTGTGTCCTCGAAATGTCATAAGTATTTGCGCCTACTTCCCATAATTGTTTCAACTCTTGTACCAACGGTTGCATATACACATCCAAATTGCCCTTAGGGTTCTTAGGACCAGGAACGAGCAACGAAAGGAACATGAATTGTCTTTCCATACACATTGAAGGAGACAAGTTATAAGGGGTAAAAATGACAGGCCAACAGGAATATTGTCCCCCAAACTTACCATGCGGAGCAAAACCATCTGTACACAAGCCAAGTCGAACATTATGAGGATCATTGGAAAATTCTGGAAAGCATCTATCGAGGTGTTTCCAAGCTTCACTATCACTAGGGTGCGCCATTGTGCCTTGAACTCGAGGATTTTTCGAATGCCATGTCATTTCCTCCGATATGTTCTTGGTTGCATAGAGCCTTTGTAATCTCGGTGTGATCGGAAAAGAAATTAAAACATTCAAAGGCACTAAACTACCTTTAGAAGTCTTTTTGTATCGGTCGCTACCACACACCCTACATGTAGATAGCTGAACATCATCCTTCCAAAACAGCATACATCCTTTCGGACATGCATGAATCTTTTCATGAGGCAACTCCAACCCCTTCACAATCTTCTTCACCTCATAGAATGTGTTGGCCATATTGTTATTGTTAGGAATCGCCTCATTGACCAAAGAAGCAAACCCGTCAACACATCTATGGGGTAAATTATACTCACACTTAAGACTAGTAATTCGAGCAGCCATCTGTAACACAGACAATGAACTTCCTTTGTATAATGGTCTTTCGGAAGCCTTTAACAAATCTAGGAAATGCTTAGCTTGTGCATTAGGCTCCTCCTCTGCCTTTTCTGAATGCCCTTGATCTTCATTATGACCAAAAGCATCGAAAACCATTTCACGGTATTCATTTGACGGTCCTTCAGGAGCTCCCGGAAAGCCTTCCCCATGACACATCCACTCATAGTAATTAGGTATGAAACCCTTGCGGTACAAATGAATTTTAACAGTTTCCGCATCCCAAAGTCGTTTGTTCTTACATTTCAAACATGGACACCTAACTTCATTCGGGTTGCTACTCTCGGGATGGTCTTCCACGTATTTAAGGAATTCATCTACCCCTTTCACAAATTCCGGATTAATAGAATGCCCAACCTTCCTTTCATACATCCAGCTACGTTCTGTTCGTTTCATGATTACAACTTCTACACAAACTCATGAATATGTATAATCACATTAGTCACAACGCGTATTGAATATTCATTAACCATCTAAATGTTAAAAATATGATAATAAGATTGTACATGATGTCCAAAGGTCCTTATCACTCCAACCTAACCCATCCTTGGACATTTAATCTCACTAGCGAATGTATGCCAGGTTATCAATTCTATGGAAAATCTGGTAGCATTTCCCTTATGTTCTCCAAGTACACGATGTAGGCTATTAGATAACCCGTCATATGTACCCAGAGAACATTGTAGAGAAATGATTAGCCAGGATATTCCCTAGAATCAATAACAAGGCATACATTCACCACCTAAGTGAGAATAAACGTCCAAGGACAGTCCCAACCGGGGACTATCCAAGACATACTCCTAATGAGTATGCCTTGAACGGGTATCTAGGCAAATGATGATGCAAATGATTCATTCATAAATATATCAAGTAAATATAACACGCTCATTTAAAAATATGCCAAGCAAATTACATAACACAATCATTATAAGTAAACCTAATATATCATAATCATAATTAAATTGATATAAACAATTATATAGTAATCATTACATTTAAAATTATATAAAACAAATATATTTTACTAAATTAACTAACATGCTTTAAATTAAACTAACATACATTATATTAAACTAAACAAAACTAACATACATTATTAAATAATAATAAATTAAACTAAACTAACATACATTATTATAATAAACTAAATCAATGTAAACTAACATATCATGAGGTACATTTTTATAATAAAATATCAACCTAAACTAACATATCATGTCATACATTATTATACTAAACCAAACAAAATTTACATGTCATGTCTTACATTATTATAAAAATGCCAAACCAAATTAAACTTAACTAACATATCAACCATTATTATTTATTATAATAAACCAAATCAAACCAAACTAACATTTATCTAAGTCACTAACATGCCAAGTATAAACTAAAATAACAATTTTAGAAATTAGAATGTCACGAACCTATAGATCTGCACTTTTTATTGAGATTCAAAGCAAGGCAAAGATACAAATCCTGCAAATATTAACAATTAAACATTAATTAAGGTGTAAAATGTCAATATTTATTTTAAAAAAATGAAAAAATAAGTCAAATTATGTTCAGAGTTCTTACCAGCGGGAGGATGAAGGTGGTGGTGGTTCTGGTAGGAGGCGGAACGGTGGAGCCACCTGAAACAAAAGGGGTGTTAGGGTTAAATAAAAAAAATAAAAATTAAAATATAAAAAAAAAATAATAATAATAAAAATACCTCACCGGCGCTGCAGCCGAAAATCTTGGAATGCCGCCGGCCGGGTAGGTGTGACGGCGGCTGCTACAAGCCGGTGGTGGCTGTTCACAAGCCCCGGTGGTTAGTGCGAATTTAAAAAAAAAAAAAAAAAAAAAACCTAACACCGGAGGTTACCGTCGGGGAGAACGGCGGCAGCGGGATCCGGTGGTCAGGCGGAGGCGCGCTCAGGCTGAGGCGACGGCGGTGGTCAGGCGGAGGCGCGTCTTCTTCTCTTTCTCTTTCTTTCTCTCTCTTTCTCCCTTTCTTTCTTTCTCTTTCTCCCTTTCTTTCTTTCTTTCTTTCTTTCTTTCTCTCTCTTCCCCCGTGTTTTTTCCCTGGTTCTTTCTGGTTTGAAACCTAATTTCTAGTTCAAGTATTTGCGACGGAATTTATTTCGTCGGTAATTATTTTCCGACGGAAAATTTCGTCGCAATAAATTTTGCTCGGAATTTTCGGTCGCAAAATTAATTTTCCGACAGAAATAAATTCCGTCGTAAATTTTGCGAGGGAATTTCCGTTGCAATTCACATTTTCCGACGCATTTTAGCAACACACTTTATTCCGTCGCTGAAATTAAAGTTTGCGACGGAAAAATAGGTCCATCGTAAAAAATCCGTCGGTATAAAGCCATTTTCTAGTAGTGCACATATATATATCCAACTAAATTCATTCATCTTCTTTCACGGTTGTACCCTCTCTCTTTTTTTCTTTTAAATTTGGAAATGAAACAATCTGACTAAATATGAAAATAATTAACCCAAGTAACAACCCGTACATTAAACGGGCCAAAAAACTAGTTAAATAATTAATAAGACATCTTAAAAATGGGACCTTGTAATACCGACTTCACCATACCCCACCTTAACCCCCATTTCCCTCTTCTATTCTCTCACTCAATCTCCCTCATTTAAATCCTCCGCTCTAAATTCTTATCACTACCAACACTTCAACTATCAATCAAACCTCCTCTCCGTACTACTCAACACTTGTTAAACAAACACCCAAAAAAAAAAAAAAAAATGACGCCGAAATTTAGAAAATTACTCCCAATAGAAGAAGACCATAACCCATCTGTTTTATCATTCTCACACTATTCTCCGACGCATTCGCCGTCGAAAAATTACCAAAGAGAAGATAATCCCACTACTACGAGTAATTATTACAACAATCTTAAGCTCAATCCTCCCTTTGATTCTGCAATGGCGTTAACTGTTTTAGTCCTTTTAACAGCTTTGTTTTTTATGGGGTTTTTTTCGATTTACATTCGTCGTTTTAGTGACGAATCCTCGGTCGACCCGACCCGACGACGTCGGAGCTCCGGTACTTCTCAGGGTGATAATAGTCTTCCTACGACGATGTCGTATTTGTCGAGGTCGAGGGATTCGACGAGAGGTGTGGATGCAAAGGTGGTGAATTCATTGCCGGTGCACGCTTATTTTCCTGGGGAGGCGAAGCAAGGGATGATTGATGACGTGGAATGTGCAATTTGTTTGAGTGAGTTTGAGGAGAAGGAATTAATGAAGGAGATACCTTATTGTGGTCACGTGTTTCATGTTGAATGTATTGACACGTGGCTTGAGAGTCACGTGACGTGTCCGCTTTGTCGGACGGCGAAGCTGTTGGTGGAGGAAGAGGAGGAAAAAATAAAAATCGGAGTGGCGTCGGCAGCTGTGGCGGTGGCGGTAGAGGTGGTGGAGGGTGGAGATGGTGGGGGGGAGAGTGGTAGTAGTAGTGGTGAGAGTGAAGTGAGATTGGTGGTGGAAGGTGGTGACACGTGGAACGAGTAGAGGAGGGAAGTGGGGTCTACAACAGGTGATGAGAGGAGAAGTACTAGTTGTGGGTGGTTTGGTGAGAGAGTTAGATTGCATCGGTCATTGAGTTTTTGATGGCTATCAAAAATAGAAAATGATGAGAGTGTGTTGATTGCATTAAAATTATTTGTCTTTTTCTTTTTTATTGAAAGACATGTGAATTTGTACACAGGTAGTGCCGTAGTGGTAATGAACTTAATGAATGTTGTACACTATTGTCTAAGACGGTTTTGATATATTTAGACGTAGTTTGGTTTAAAAAAAATGCTTGTATAAATGAGCTTAATTAGTTCTTTGTATTTCATTTATGCTTTATTATTAGCTTAATTAGTTCTTTGTATTTCATTTATGCTTTATTATTAGTTCTATCTCAATATTTTTTTTTATTAGTACTTGAGAGGAGAAAAAGTTAAAATGTGGCTTATTCTTAAAATGGTCCATCTAAGATGTTTATAAGTTAATTGTCATATTATTAATTGTCTACCTCAAGTTCGATGTCAAAAGGATATGCATGTATCAATCTATGGTTTATTGCCAATGGTTCTCTTTTACCAAAACTAAAGTTGAATACATATGAATAAATGCAAATGATTCTCTTTTACCAAAACTAAAGTTGAATACATACATGAAAATGAAAGTCTTTATATTTCAATGATGGTGGTGTGTTTGTATATTTCGTAACATATGTGACCAATAACTAATGCTCAGCCAGAATTAATAAGGTGTCTCGTATAAGCAATGTAAGGATATATAATTTCCTTCCGATCTTACAACTACAAACCCAACTACTAGAAAGTGTAAAAGTACAAAACAATTAAACTATTCATTGCTCGACAATAAACTGAGATTTGATGCTGTTAAGATTGTGATAGTGGAGATACGAAGTTGGGATTGAGAAGAATAAATAGGGAAGACTAAAGCAAGACATGAAGACATGAAATAAAGAGTAACACACTTTAATAAGAGAAACATTCTCATATATGTACAACCATGATCCATGAACAACAAGCACTTGAAATTCTATTATAAAAAGAAGAGTACAATGACATGAATTTTTAGGGGTGAATTGTACGTTACAAGAAGGAATCAACTCGAAAAGGATTAATATCCTCAAATATAAGAATAAATAAAACCCCAAACAACAAGTGATAGAAAATCCATTATATAAAATAAATCACGAATTACTTGGACTAAATTATATTATCTTCGTTTTTTTTTTTCAGTCGACACGTTTTAACTTTAGCACTATTCATACATCTTCTTTTGACCCTACTTTGTAATCTAATATATATATATAAAGGGGAGTTTTTTCCCGAGTATTTAGAGAGCCACGTAGGATCTAATTTTCTTAGTGTGCCATGTAGAATTATAAATTTTAGTAGTAACCAATTAAATAGGAGATTATTAAAATCTTTTATAATTAAATAATTCAAATGTCACGTAAGCAAAATTGGCGAATGAGATTTTTCAATTTAAATTAATTAAATATAAAATATTATCTTTTGATATTAGGAATTTTATCTAAATATATAACAAATTTTTGCACATAAATATATGTATAAAAAAAATTATTTTTAAAAATTCAAACAAACCGTGCATCGCACGGGATTCATCTAGTTTATATGTAAAGAGAAATATAGTCAACTGAGATCTGGTTAGATTCATCACAATGTATATATTCAAAATATCAACTTTTTAATAATTTTTGTTTATTAACAATTAAAAATATTAATGATTGAATTTGTGTATTGACAAACGTGACTAAAGAAATGTATCAATTAAAAAGAAACGGAGGAAGTAAATTACAAGGAAAAAAACAAGAGAAGTAGTACAAAAAGAAATATTTGATATAAAACATTAAATTATGTGTGTGTATAAGAGGATTTTCGTTCAATTCTTGTTTTCGTAGAAATTGTAAACTTTATAATGGAGATGAATTAAATAAGAGTTTATTATAAGTAATCTTTATAAGCCAAAATATATTGTATATATATAAGAGAAAAGCTTGAGGATCGTAGCTTTGGAGGATTTATATATTATGTAGGTGGATTGCTCCAAAATATTACCCAATACCAATATACACTATGGTAGATAGTGAGATCATGAGCATATATGCACATGCTAGTAAATTGTAAAAACTTCCTCATAAAAGTGCTCCAAATTTAACACAAGATGCACTAAATTCTCTAGAAATCATTACCATTATACGGGGATGTTTCTACTATGGTCCACTTTATTTGGACCATCACTATACTTAATTATCATTGGTCGAATTTTTAATTATTTTTTAACCTTGGTCAAACACTATTTTTAGTATTTTCCTTTTTTAATTCAATTTTTATTTTCCAAAATATAATTATTGAATTTCTGAAAATTATTTTATGATTTTCAAAATTTATTTATTAAAATCAGTTTTTAATTAAATAAAAAAATAACATTAAATTAAAATAATCAAAATAAAAAAATTATTCATCAATGTTCTTCATTATTCATCATTGTTCTTCAAGTTTGTTTATCCATGGATGAGATTAACCACCATTATGGTAATATTTAATTTGTCCCGTAAATACACTCGCACATCAATGAAAATTGAAAATATGCATCGATTTACATATTATATGTGAAGAGTTCATTCGAAATTTGGATTCATGTATGAATCTGGGATTGTATTTAATCCTAAAACAATAAGTGTTAATTGGATAATCGCAAACAAGGGATGAAAAATCGGTCATTATATGAATGCGAAAAAAAAAAAAAACAATTTTTCGAAATCTGGGTTTGTGAGCTAATTGGAGAAGACAACGAGTTTTGTTTTGGAATACTTGTTTGATCCGAAAAAAAAAAGATATAGTTTTCGATTTTGTTTGCATATAAGGTATTAACCCAAATGCTAAGAGGACATTACCTATAAAACGCAATATTATTGTTTATTTGGTGTACGACCATACGTTATTTTGGACATTGTTAATAATTAGGTCATACTGTGCATGCATTAGTATCCTAATATTTTTCTTAATTGATAGCAAATAGGATCGTGGTCCTCAATCCTCATTCACTAGCTAAGTCACAATTTACATATACCAAGTTTGGTATCAATGATCACTTATATATTAGCTATTGTGGTTTGATTTCTGTATGCATATTCCTCAAAATTTTAACTCTCAATCAAACCACCTTTAATTTAGAGCTATTCTAATGGCAACCTAATTGTCAAATTAGATGATTATCTTCTTATCTATCATGTGACCCAATGGTTGGATTACTTGAATACTAGTTTGTTATTAATTTAAATAATGAACCGTCTTCGATTATTATTATAATTTTACAATAATTAAGGAGATTGAGACCAATTCTAAATATATAAGTAATGTCATATCCTAATATTGGACGAATCCCATATAATAACCAAATGAAAAAAAAAATGTGGAGGTGAGCAATTACATGGCAAACCTTTTTTTTTTTTTTTTTGGAAAGAATACAATGACAAATTGTTAAATATAGTAAATATATTTTTGTATTTATAAATTAGGAAAGCCAATATTCAACCCCTTATATTTAGGCTAAATACATACTACTATTGCTAGTTGTTTCCTTATAATTAGGACATATCATGCTTCTGTTTTGTATATACATGTATTCTAGTTATATTAATGATAATGGAAAATATTATTTTTCCTATTTGTTAAAATAGCGTTACATGTTAAATGTGATTTTTTGTATTTTGTTTTTTACCCAATGTTTAGTACTACGACTCCGCGAGTATCTTTTTTTTATTAGTTTAGTTTCATTTTTAATTTATAGTCTATATTTTATGTGTCATAAAAATTAATTGATAACAACACTATTGTATATCATTGATTTATTTCCTTAATAGTACGTTAAATATTATAATAGAATATTTGAAAAAGATTTGGACGACAATTTATATGGGATAACTTATGTTTCATTTAGTAACAATATTTCCTAAAAATAAGCAATCAACAGCCATCATATAGGAAATATTCTTCAATTAGATCTTAAATCTAACACATTCCATTGTTAATCTAAATTTCAATTTTGATTGGTTGCTTTAAATATATGATTTTTTACCTTATAGAAAGATGGTTTAAATTTCAAATTATTACACAAACCAAAAAACAAAAATTAATGTCCAAACCTATATAATGAGCAAATTGGTCAAAGGAAGAAGACGCAATTTTAGGATACAAAGATATATAATGAGCAAATCGATTAGAGGAAGAAGACGCAATTTTTTTTAAAATATTCTTCTCATATACCTTGTTTGATACGTAGAACACAAGTGTGAGTTTTGTGATCTGTTTATAGTTCAGGTTTTAACTTATGTGTACTTTGGTTATTACCTAAAAAAGAAAGTTTATTGAGTTTGACGAATGACCATATGTATTTTGGATATTGTGAAAATTCCAACTTTATGATTTTTTTAACGTGGAGATGAGGGAAACCAACATTTTGATTTTATTTTACGATAAGCATGTCAAAAAAATCAGAAAATATGATCTTATTTTAGAAAAAAAAGACTTAAAGTGTTTCCTTGAAAAAAAAAGATAGATTTAAAATCATAAACCTTAATTAAATTATGGTATTGTCCTAATTTTATCTTTTTTATAGGGAAAGTACGTAAATTTTTATCCTAAGATTTTGTTAAGATTCTATTAATCAAATTGCGTGAAGAAATAACAAAATCTCAGGAAAATCTAAAATTTAAGGGAAAGTAAATCATCTATTATCCTAAGATTTATTAATATTTCATTTACTAAATTTTATCCTCTTTTTAAATTCATTTTACACGATTGTTTATCAAACATTCCAGGTTTATTGCATAATTAAAAATATATATTACTATAATTCTAGAGCCCTTTCCCTAAATAATGTTGGGAAATTATATAATTCCCAAATTACAGCTACTCTTTTTTTAATTCCCATTATACCATCCACGTCAGCTAAGGAAAAAAAACCGATTTTTTTTTTCTCGGTCCAGCAACAAACCGGTACTTGAAGTAGCGGTTTTAGTTTTGTAAACCGCTACTTGAAGTAGCGGTTTTCCTCAAAACACCGCTACTTGAAGTAGCGGTTTATGAAATTAAAACCGCTACTTCAGGTAGCGGTTTATGGGTTTGTTTTGTAAGTTTTCTTTAAAATCAAAATATTTGTAAATCAGTAATTAGTAAATACAAACCGCTACTTCAAGTAGTGGTTTCTAATATGTAAACCGCTACTTGAAGTAGCGGTTTTCAGTAGCACATCGCTACTTGAAGTAGCGGTTTTCTAATAAACCCGTTTTTTAAAAAATTCCCACTGAACCGGTGACGTGGTCGGTATGGTGGGAATTAAAAATTAAAAGACTAGCTGTAATTTGGGAATTAGATAATTTCCCAACATTATTTAGGGAAAGGGCTCATAATTCTAGGCGTGATAAAAATCAATAATTTTACAAAATCATAAGATATGTCAACAAAATCAATAAGATATATATTCTAATATTTAGATTATATTAGAATATAATCTTTTGAAATTTGAAAAATATACAGATTTTAAAATCTTATATACAATAATAATAAGATAAGAAATTAGGAAAATATCCTTATTATAATTGGTGATTGAATTTTTTTAAAATAATATTTCTAATGTTAAAAGATATCCTTAAAGATATTGATTCCATTATATTTATTTATATATATATATAATCATTAAAATAGATTCATTTTATTTTTTGTACATGTTTAGCTACAAATATTTTGCAAATGCCGTAAAGTACTTTAAAATAATTGGTTATTTCTAAATAACGTATGATCATAGTCGTTTAATATTTAAAATGTATATAATAGGTAATGTCCAATCCGTATGTGGGTAAATTCCTTAAACACAAATACGATTTGGAATTTGGTCTATTTTTTTTTTGGATCAAACCGTGTTTCCAAGAAAAATCATACATTTTCTAATTAGATTATCTTGAAGAAAGTAGATTACCGAATTAAGAAAATAACAAGATATTAATGAATTATAAATCAGTAGTGGTAATGTCCAAAAGAACTTGATGTCAACATATGTTTTTAATAATTACAATTTTCATAACAGGTAATGTCCTATCCTTTATTTGGGTAAAACATTTTACACAAACAAGATTTCAATTTCGATTTCCCTTTTTTTGGATCAAACAAGGTTTCGAAAAAATAATGATGCGATTTCTTTTTCAGATGTTCATGACAAACCCCGATTATCGTAAAACTTAAAAATTGTTATATCGATTATATAAAATCACCGTTTTTGCAAACGTTGACTAATTTAGTACAATCCAAACCTATTATTTAGAGATTTAAATCGCTGCCCAAATTCGCAACGACTACAACTTTTTGATATCTTAAAATTTCGCATTTGCTTTTTGAATCGATCCATATTGTTATTCGCTTTCGATGCGCAAGTGAATTTAATGGACATAGATCATGTGTTTGTGTTTAATCTCATCCATGAATGAAAAAACTTGAAGAACATTGATGAACTATGAAGAACATTGATGAACAATTTTTTTATTTGATTTTTTTAATTTAATCGTTTTTTTGATTTTAATAAAATCTGATTTTAATAATTAAATTTCGAAAATGTAATTGAAATGATTTTCGTAAATTCAGTAATTAAATTTTGGAAAATAAAAAAAGAATTAAAAAAGGAAATAACTAAAAATAAGGTTTGACCAAGGTAAAAAAATAAATAAATAATCGACCAATGGTAATTCAATATAGTGACGGTCCAAATAAAGTGGACCATAGTAGAATTTTTGATTATACGGAGTATTATACAAGATAATACTACGAAATTCTAGAAATGTTAAGCGCCATAAAATTAAGTACTAGAATTATGAGCTGATTAAATTATGATTTTAAATTATTTTTTAATTATATAAATAGAATCCCACTAGCATGTGTGGTCGTGTGGATGAGTATAGACGTATAGCAGCGCTTAATTAAGCCCTTTAAACAATTCGATTAAAGCTTAACTTTTATTCGATACTACTAGATAGTATAAGAAGCAAAAATAAGATAAGAAACTTCTAGGAGCATCTAAAATAATGCAACACTGGCATATGAACAAATTCATTTAATCTAAAGAACTCGAAAGTGACCCAATCATTTTTGTCGAATTTATGGACCGCTATTCATTAATGTGGATTTTGTTGAATATTGTTAGTGTAGCCTGTGTAGGGTCCCAATTTCCAATTTCATTATTAGTTATCTAACTTTATACAATTTTGTGATGTATGTGAGCCGTATATTTGTAGCAGCCATAGTATACTAAGTTGCTGAGAACGGAGTACAAGCTAAGGAGGGAAATAGTAAGATTAAATTTGTGTATGTCGTTAAATCCCCGAATTTGGGGTTACTACTTACTAGTGTACTACCCTTGTCTATGTGTACTACCCTTGTCTATGTGACTCTTATGTTCCGTGCATATCTAGTCACTCAACTAATAATAGTGACACCATCTACAATTATATCCTGTAGTTATTGAGTGTGGTCGCGTGGTTAGTACATTGTGTGGCTCACCGCATTGATCTTAATAATCTAAATCTCTAATTCTATTTGGTTGTACCTAAATAGTGGCTCATTGTACATTGGTCGTAATACTCCAATCCTATTTGGTTGTACCTATATAGTGGTTCATTGAAAATTGGTCTTAATATATACTCCAATCCATATCCTATTTGGTCGTACCTATATAGTGGTTCATTGAAAATTGGTCTTAATATATACTCCAATCCATATCCTATTTGGTCGTACCTATATAGTGGTTCATTGAAAATTGGTCTTAATATATACTCCAATCCATATCCTATTTGGTTGTACCTATATAGTGGCTCATTTTACATTGATCTTAATACTCCAATTCTATTTTGTTGTACCTACATATAACTACTTCATAGAATAGAGATGGCAAATTAGATATGAACAAAGTTGAATATTATTAGTACCATGATAGATAGTAAGAGTAATTGGATGAGAAGAATAAAAGAGTACACATAATGTATAAAATGTGTAGTTTTCAAATTTCAATTGTGTACATATATAAAGATAAAAGTTTGCTCTTATATGTGCATTAGAAACACTAAAGTTGGTGAAACTTGAACAAAAGGGACTGTTCTCTTTAGCTTAATTTTAGTTCATTTTAGTTCAGTTCAGCTCTAATCATTGTATCGGAGTATTATTTAGTGATCAACTGTGGTATAAACTAACATGACATGAATTGATGGTCACGAAAACGGAAGAAAATTATATTATAGAGATTACAATCAGTTTATTGTTAATAGGTAACTCGGTTGGTTAGAGCAAGCTTCTTTTCGGGTTCCAAGGAATTCTGGTTGAGATTGATAATTTTCATCCAAATTAAAATGTACATAAACAATTGAATCTCATTACATGAGGATGCAATTCCAAGGGATTTGTGGAAATCGATTGAATAAAGCAAAAGTCGGACGGTCTGTTAATTATTTGCTTAACCATAACCCTAAGTACAACCTAAACATAACCAAAAATCAAGCAACATAATTAGTAAAATAAACATAATAACCTACACAAATACTAATTACAATGTAATATCAAAGATCACGACCTAAGAAAAACCTAGTGAACCCCCTTTGTACATCAACAACAAAATGTGGGGCCTTCCTACAACATAAACAAGTCAGGTAATTAATTAATCCAATAACATTCCCTAAAACAAATTAAAACGTCAACCCTACCAAAAAAAAAAACCATAGGTTATATATATTACGACTTAGTAAACTCCTTGGATTTCTTAGAATCATAGGTTATATAATTAGTAACAGCCTTACTCCCTTCAGCAATAGCATGCTTACCAAGTTCACCAGGTAACACCAACTTAACAGCACCTTGTATCTCTCTCGCCGACATCGTCTGCTTCTTACTATACTTAATGAGTCTAGAAGCTTCCATAGCAAGTCTTTCAAACATATCACTCATAAAATTATTAATTACCGTCATTGCCCCTGACGTTATTGCCATACCCGGGTGCACTTGTTTTAACACCCTATACACATACCTTTTATACCCTTCTCCTCCTCCTTCCCCTTTCCTCTTCTTCCCCCGCTTTCGGCCCGTTGTCGATACCGCCTTCTTTACCTCTTGGGCTTTGTTTGGTGTTGTTGGGCTTTCCTTTTTAACTTGCTTATTGGGTTGGGCATCCTCTTCTTGGGTCTCGTCTTCGTCGTCGTCTTCGATGGGGATTGACTTGGTTGTTACGGAGGTTTGCTCCTCCCTTTTCTCGGTGACTTCGAGCTGGGGAGATTGGAATTGGGCTTGGAGTTGGGCTTGGGTTTGGGCTTCTTGTGATCCAACTTGAGAAATGACTTCAATTGTTTCTTGAACAACTTTGGTGGTAGTCTTAACTACTCTCCTTCCTTTTTTTGGAGCCATTATTTCTTGCCTAACTTTTGTTTTGTTTTGTTTTGTTTGATTATGTTGTGAAAATGAAGAAGATTGAAGAGGAAGTTTTAGTGGTTTAAAGGAGTGTGTAAGTAGTGGTGAAGAGGGTGTTCTAGAGGACGACACATGGGGGACACGTGTCGAAATGGGTTGCTACGTGGGGTAAAACTGTAAAAGAGTGGGAGATTTCTGGAGGAGTGAGTGGGGTGAGTGGGGTAACTGGTAAAGATAACTGTAAAATTGTTTAAAAACACAAAAGCATAATTTGAATCTAGGTTTTTCATTGAGAAATGAGATTAAAGTCTTTGATTGTAGTAATTGCTAGAAAAACCAAAAGAATTGTAGTACGAATTGATGATATCATGATAATATGCTTTTTTTTGAGTATCTAAAATGAGTTAACAAGGTTTTAAATTTAATTAATCTTGATAAGTAAGTGGCCTAACTTTATGTTATGGCTTTATTATGTTAACCCTGGTATTACTGTATTAGTTCAACTTATATATATTCTGAAAATGGAAAATGCATTAATATTTTCATGATACATATGTTCTACCTATATTCTACGCATGCTACAATGTTACATGTATTTGTTAAAAAAAAACATTCACATTAGTTGTCGCTAACAATTATAAATGCAAAACAAATCTAAGAAAAAAAATAAAAATGATACACCCATGACCCATGAACACATATAGTATGAGTAAACAAAAAGAAATAAATGGATGAAAGTGGGTATGCTGGTGACCAAAGAAAAGATATAGGAAGTATTTTATATAATTAAAAATAAATAATACAAATTTTTGTACGTGGCTAGCGACACCGTTTGACCATTTATCAAAGGGGTTACTTTATTAGTGTAATTGGGGTTACCTAATCAGATGGTCAGCGTCTCAGCAATAAAAAGTTACTTGGTCAGTGTTATATGATTATTCAATTAGTTTTATAGGGAGTTAAACAGTCAGCATTTTATAAGTGACTATACATTGTAATCAGCCACACACAAAACCAGCTAAAACATAAACCGTTTATGAGAGTACAAGTACAAAATGCAAGGATTGGCTCATGCTTTAATTGGGTTTGGACCAGGATTGATGTACTACGCCACGACAAACCAAAAAAAGACTCAATTGGGCCCTAACTACAAGTTGAGGGTCTGGCTACGCCCACATTAGGAAAAAAAAGGCCCAACCTCAACACGTGACCCAAAGAGCCAGATTTGTTTTAGCATGGACTTGACGGTTGGGTATATTTTAAGGTTGGACCGGCCCCAATATGTTTTAATACTTCTTCTGTTCTTTTTTTATTGCACCATAAGGGGTTTTTACGCTTGTCAATGCATTACTTTGGCTACTAATATCTTTAATTATACTTTTGTTAAAATTATGCGTAAAAAATTGATATTTGAAAAGGAGATTTCAAGACGAATCTAACTAGATCCCATATGACTATGTTTTTCTTAATATATAAATCACAAAAGATGGTTAAAGAAGATTAAGTGAATAGTGTAAAAGTCCTTATAGTGCAATAAAAGCAAAACGGAGAAAGTAAATACTTTCTCAATGAACCTCTAACAACTTAATCTATCTCTCACTCTCGTATTTATCTTTTAGTTGTAATAGTTTGACAACTCTTACTCCACATATTCACGAGGAGAATATCTATACCATCAACATATCCTTTAATACTTCATAATTTTAAGGTAAGATTATGAAATAATATATAATGAAAAGTTGTTTTTGCTTCTTTGATTATCCAAATTACAAGCTATATAAAATTTGTTATATTCACCCGGGTGTACTAACACCCAACTAACAACAGGTTATTTTTTTTAGTAAACTTAATGTTAGTTTTTGTTCTTTATTTGATGATAAAAAGAAAAACAATCATAAAAAAAAAAAACAAATACGCATGGATGTACGATGACTACATCATAATAAAACTCACACTATTTTACATTCCCCTTGGACGTGATATTTAAGGTGTAGCTTGGACAACCAATAGCGCGCATTGGTATTTGAATTATCAACTTCTAAAGCCAAATCCAAATTCTTCTTAGCACCCGGGTAAAGATTACAATGAGCAGCAACAATTAGATCAGATTGAAGCATTAGCATATCAGACCAATACAATTCATCACAATGCATGCCTAGTTAAAAATGAGTATTATCAACGCAAACTAAGACGAGTATGTTAGCAAGAGCTCATAGAGTAATTGTTAAAATTAACAAACACATAGTTCGATAGCTTAAGTTACAAAAGGGTGAACCACATCTTCATAATACAATTTTGATATTGTGAAGGCAGGCAGAGCGTACCCTCTCCTGACTCGTGCTGCTCTACAGTGTACACCAAGTATCTCTTGTTACCAATCCTTTAGAACTCCGAGGGCTTCATCCACTTCCTCTCTATTTGAGGAGGCGAAATATCATAGGTTGCTAAAACCTGAATCCAACCACATTCCTTGACGACTGAACCATATTCTTCTACAGTTATCCGAAGAGTACCACTAAACACTACATTCTCAGTTGACGCATCTGTCAAATATACATCAAGACAAAGGTGGCTATCTAGTGGCACAGCCACCTTATCTCTTGACAGTGAAAAATAGCCTCCCTCCAACAACTTCTTAGGCTTTTCTTGTGACGCATAGAACAAAGTTGATCTATAAAACAGTTTATCATACTCACAATCAGAAGCAACTTTGCTGCTGTAAGCGCGTATATGACCATAAATTGCACAACCACCAACACCATGTAGTCTGTCTGCAAGACGGATTTTCACAGCAGCTTGAACAGCATCTGTATAGAAGATTGAATGCACTACAGCATGCCCATCTTCACCCTTAACAATAGTGGAAGCAGGTTTATTGCAACACTTATCATGAGACATTGCTGAGTACATAACAGCCCCATGACATATGTTAACATTATGATGCTTGTCGTCGAGGTCGAGGAATAAAGTCCAAGAATGGTTATCAGACCTTACACAATTTGGAGGACCAACCAAATGCAGTTGTTGGGTTCCATTTGGAAATATTATAGAGTTTTCATTATCTGAAGGTTTGAACATATCAATACCACCATCGACATCAATTATGTTATCTAACAACCTCACAAAACCTTCAAGTTCAACACTTTCGATATCATCAGTGTAGTACCGTTCTATCCATACTGAAAATATTTCAACCATACAACCTGGAAATCTCTCCATTGCTGAATAATACCATTGCATCCTTGAAGGTATTATTTATAAATTTCACTTTGCATCTCTCCATGAATCTTGGGATCTCCGACTATAAAAAGAAACCATTAATATTTTTCTATGTATTGTGAATTAAATTAAGGCCGATTTATAAGGAAATACAGTACATCATAACTTCTGTACATAAATTTTATCATTCTTTATGAAATCCTTTTTAATTGTTATCCATATCGATGTTGTTTTTATTAACGACACCAATCACATGAATAATTTTATCATTTTTTAAGTTGTTATCCATATGAATAATTTTTTATTTGGTTTTTGTTTTTATACCTATTATATTTATGTGATTTTGGATATTTGGGATAACAATAATCATATATTATGATTTTTTGTAATTATGTTTTGTTTTTAATATCACTTTTTTGAAAGCCCGTGAAACTTGTTAATAGGATTAACATACAGTATTTTATTTGAAATAATTAGATAAATCATTAGATTAGTATGATAATTTTAATTTTTCATTTTTTTATATAGTTTTTTGAACCATAGAAAGATAATGGTAGGGTAAAATTAATAAATTGAGGATAGAATTAATAAATTTTTAAAAGATAAACATATTTTATTTGAAAAAATTAGATAAATCATTAGAATAGTATGATAATTTTAATTTTTGATTATTTTATTGTTTTTATTTCATCCTACGTGGCACACATAAGTATGTGACGCTTTATTTTTTTTTTAATTAACAAAATCTTACGTGTCTCCCTAAAAAGTCTAGAAAAAACTCCCCTTTATATATATATATATATATATATATATATATATATATATATATATATATATTAGATTTCTTTTATTTAAGTTTCTTAATAACTGCAAAATCAACCCAAAAGGGTCGAAATTTTGGGGATGGAGGGAGTAGAAAATAAATCAAGTACATGCTTTTTTGATATTTATTGAATGTTAATTACGGGGTATCTGAGATCAAGCGACGTAACTTCTCCATTATTATAAGTTTAGAACATACATATACAAGTAATGGGGTGTTCTCATTCTTAATTTTAATACTATACAAACTTCCTCATAGGCAGAGTAATTAACTTGATTCAATTCGACATCGATCACTCTTTTGATCCTACATTGAAAAAATGAACAAATAAGGTCAGTACTCGTATAATTTCATATCAATCAGGTGAAAATCTCAAAGATATGTGTAGTTGAATCATTACCCATTAGAATGAACCTCCTTTGTCGTAAACGAGTTCCAAGGAACTTGCTCCTAATCGATGATAGTTTTGCAACAACATCGCTCATTTCCAACCTTTCTCGTGGCACTTCAGCTGAGCAAGAGTGTGCTACTCCAAATATCGAAGTCAAGGCCTCCAACGTTACTTTACTACTCGTATCATTAATCTCCTCTTGATCTATATCTTGAAAACGAGCGCGATCTATAATTGAGTTCATCTGTTCTGGCAAAGCTTCTTTCACAAAGTGATGTAGGCTCAGCCCACCTTCGAACATTTGATCAGTAGGCCTCTTACCTGTAAACATCTCTAGTAAAAGGATCCCGAAACTATAGACATCGCCGCTAGTAGACACCTCATTTTCCAAACCATACTCTGCAGTTCTTACAAATATAAGAAATTGATTTGATGAATAAATAGGTTTGTTACATAGTACTCTACATTCAAACAAAACCGATACTATTTTAGAAAATGTAACAAATATTCCGAACATGAGATATCTTTGTCACTATTATAGTTACCTGGAGGAGTGTAGCCGATAGTTCCCCTTACTCCAATAGAGCTGGACTGATTTAGAGGAGAGTTAATGATGTCTTGTAGGAGAAACTTGGCTAGCCCAAAGTCACTAACACGCGCAACCATTTCATCGTCAAGGAGAACATTGCTTGGCTTAAGGTCACAATGAACTATGGAAGCACCACAATGATGGTGAAGATAATCCAAAGCAAATGCAACATCGATCACAATGTCAAGCCTTTGGCGAAAATTCACATTCCTTGAGCTATTACTTGATCCTTCGACACTAATGACTGCTTCCGATGGATCCAACCAATCATCCAAGCTCCCATTCCCCATGTACTCATAAACCAAAGGCTTGAAATCTCTTCCTTGATAATCCACTCTCGAACAAGCTGTTATCACCTTAACTAGATTTCGATGCCTAATTGTTTGGGCCTAGTCCATTGTCCTAAGCCCATTGACATGGAATTACGAAAATACCCCTCCATGATCTAGCAAATCAATAAACGGAGTAAAGTACGGATTTACCCTTAATCTGTCCAAACAAGTACAACTTCTTGCCACCTGAAAGTACATCTATAAATAGCTCTCCATTCATTAATGATGGTAACTTTTTCCTAATTCTATACCTTCTCTCTCTAAAGTACTCTTTCTTTCTCTACTTTCTATCTCTAGAAAGTACATTCGTTGACTTAAGCATCGGAGGGGCTTTCCCGGGTCACACCCCCGGGCCAGTTAACCTTCTTTCTCTTTTGCAGGCCTAGCTGTCGGACAGCA